TTCACTTTATGGCTGTTATTTTTCAAAAATTATATCTCCAGGTTAAAATGGTTTCTAAGGGTCAATCTCTGGTGTACTTGTGTATTTTTTAGCATATTTTAATGTGTAAAAATTTCGCTGAAAACGCTTGAGTGCATTTTAAAAAGATCCAGAAGATATTATTTCTAGGCTGTTTTCCAGCACCCTGCCAACACCAGGCCCGGGCCAGCACCCCCGACAGCTTCCAACCGGGCCCTATTTTGGCATTTTCCCGACCCGTTTGATTCATATTGACCCGTCACTTTGTTTTTCATGTTGTGTGTGTTCTATATAACTTGTATTGGTTTATCGAGTCTAGACAGTTAAACCAAAGGTTCCAAACTCCATTAGGAATTCCACGAATCACTTAGTCGATAATGTTTTGACTAAGTAAATGTTGTTGTATGTGATTCTATGTGTCGGATAGTATGTTGATAGGACTATCTTGACTAATGTAGGTTCGACGAGCTGAGCCATCGACCTAAGTTGTTGCCTTGTGTGATTTTTCCTCTCCGGTATCCAGGTGGGTTGTATTATAAGAATTTCTATGTCGTAAATTATCTATGTCTTGTGAGGCCGTGCGCTTGTGAGGCATGTACTCCCACCGTTAGGGTAATGAATCTCCTTTCCGTAGCTAATGAAAGAAGTGTACACAGGAGTAAGGTTATTATGTGCATAGGAGATGTGACATGATTGATTGATTTATGTTCATGCTGCGACCATACCCTCCTGTCATTATATATACATGGTTTATGTGCATAGCGGTGAGCAAAGTGGTATGTGCTCAACCCCATGTCCCCCCCTCAGATGCAGGTTGAGCAGGTGGCAGGAGTGACGACGAGAGGACGAGTGGCTGGTCCTTTGTCGATGTATGTTTGCTTCTGCTTTGTTCTATGAACATGTTGGTCTGATATTATGAACCTGATTGTATTGGTTTTTTAGACATGTTGATATGCTTTCAAACCTTGGAGTTTTGAAAATGTTGGGAATTATGGATTTGTGATGAAACCCCATGAGTTGGTTCCTGCTTTTATGGAACATGTTGATTTGGTTATTCATGCTAATGTGTTATGCTGAATATCATGTTCAGTCTTATGAACTTGTTTCTTTGGTTTTCATAGGCATGTTGAATTGCTTTCAAACTTTGGTTTTGAAAAGATTAAACTTGTGGATTGGTTTTGAACCCGATGAGTGGGTTCGTTTCCTTTTGAAACATATTAAATTGGATATTCATGTTGATGTGGTTATTTGAATATCATGTTGAGGTACTTGTTTTGGGATGATGAAATCCATGTGGAAAACCGGGTAATGAATCCCCGTGAGTTCATATATGACTTGAACTATGTTTTGAAATGTCCAAAATGCCCATGTAAATGTTGATTTCAAAAAATGAATTTTGAAAATGTTATCCTAATTTTTGGAAAGTCCGGAATTTCTTTAAAATCAAAATGGGGCGTTAAGTGTGCTCGACGCCAATTCTAGATTCTGAACCGTCTTCCTGGAGAGATCGACCCGAGTAACGAATCCTTCAATTTGGTACTCGGTAAATAAGATAATTTGCTACAACAAATTTGGTGTCGTAGTCGAGAAAGACAAGTATGATATTTAGTTTTGTTGTTGATTTATTTCATGTGTTTCTCTTTAATTTGTGTTTTTCGTGTTTGTGTTCTTTCTCTGTATCTTTTTTTTCTTTGTTTTTGTGTTTGACTTCTTTTTATTTTGTGGCTTCACGTGGTTGTTTTGTTTCTTGTGTGGAAGGCATTTGATCGAAGAGCTCGTTGAACTCAGGCTACCTAGTCACCCCCTCATACGCTCACTCCTGGAATAGCGGGTTAGGCTACCTGTTATCATCCGACTCGGTAA